GCGTTGTCAGCCTCAGCAGACACTTTGGATACAATTCATAGGAYGCACGGTGTCAAGTAAAACGTGAGCACAGTTCAGGATGGGCAAGAGGTGCTGGAGCCGCAGCATCCACAGATCCTTAAGCTCTATATTGAACACTTGAACTTCAAATGCTGGWATGAAAGTTGATATTCTCTATAACTTAAAATTTCTAGGGATAGAAGCAGTGTGAAGGACAAAGAACTAAGCGGAAGAGTTTGCATGGTCAGCCCCCCTATATGGACAAGGCTGTCGCAGCTCTCAGGGGCTGAATCTAGGCTGAGCTGGTCCTTTGTTTTGACTTAATCCTTCTCATCCTTGTGCTTTCTGGAGTGCAACTGCATCCAAATTTCAGCTTCTGCTGCAAACTGCATCCCTCCCTGCCTTGCATTTAGTCTAACCAACCCGGTGGTAGTATTTAGGCTTCTAATCAGAGATCGTTCTACACATACTCTCTCCGGTTTACCTGGATTCTGTACCTGAAAGTGACACACCTGCTCGTTTAACACACACTAATCAAGTCGAGCAGAGCGTTTTCTTATTTTGGTGGTAACAGGGCAAGTGGCTGATCACTCATACAAAGAAGGGTGATTTGAGGTAGGGGAACAGTATCTGGAAAAGGGGGTACATTTCTTATGCTCCCCTGACAGGCAGTCAGTTCCACAAAACTGATATAAGTGACATTTCTATTTCAAAGTTAGTGAAATGCTGTAGCACCTTATCTTCTCCCATTTGTATTTCAGGGGTCTTCAGATTATTGGGACAAATCCTAGGAGTGGATAATGTACCTTGTAACGTTGTTAAAACATAGTGATATGACTTCAAAACAGAACACGTGCCTCTCTAGTGGGCAGTATCTTTATTAAAGACTTCCTTTACCTTGTGAGACTTTTTCTGTCAAGGGTAATAGGACCATTTGAAAGACCAAGGTCAGACCCTACAATCTCAGATACAAGCAAAGCCTTGGAATGTTTCAGATCTCAACCACCTACTTCTGTCTTCTTTTTGTATGTACAGAGAGATGATCAGGTAAGACTACATGAAGCCCACTTAATCTTATTTATGGAGATTAAAAGAAAGTCAGCCTTTTTTTTTCTTTTTCACCTTGAAAGGCCTTTAGTGGAGAGGCACCAAGCCAAGCCCCACCCAGCCCCTAGGGCAGGTCCTAACACTCAGGATAGAAATGGCAAAAGCAGAGGTCTCTAAGCACAGTTCTGCACAGGCTGTGTCTCTTCAGTGCAGAGTTCTACTCAGCACACCTGGATCATTATAGAAGTCACCACTTTGTCAAAGGCCCTGGACTGGATGCGGTCTCCAGGGTTGTAGAAGGGGTTGCACACCATGTCTGTGCAGAAGCTATGCAGCTTCCAGATCATGCTGCAGATTTCATTGTCTCRAAGGGYTGTGTTGGAGGAATCTACCACAATGACAAACTTCACCTTGGAGTTGGTCACATAGCCRTATGCCTTATAGTCCTCTATTGGGTAGAGCAGGCCCAGGTAGGGCTCCCTCTGGCTCACCAGGGCCTTCCCCAGGGTGGAGATCTTCTCATCCRCCACATCCWTGGAGGTGTGCACCATGTAGTRGAATTCAGCTCATTCTCCATGGGGGTGCTGTGGATGTACAGAGGGTAATTCTCCTTGGCGATCACTGCGATATACACCACCATCATAAGTGCAAAATAAGCATCATGTATTCATACTTCTTTGAGGTCACATCTCTATCTCAGATACAGTTGTTCTTTCACAGAGAAAAATCTATGTAAAAAGATGATTACATCAGTTTTCAAGATGGCRGATTAGAGGAGGTSRCTTTCCTGGCTGATCCATGGAGTGAAACCAAGAAAGCAGACAGGCAGCTTCTCAGCAAGGTGGGTAAACAACAACAACAAAAGGGCRGGGAGATTTACTRGAATTTAAAACTGGACATTCAAAGCAGATCAGGGACTCAGAAGGTTYGATATAATAACATAAAGGAGAAATCCCCAGCGGTACAGCTGCTGTCTCAGCCTGGTTAGAAAGGAGTGGTCCCTCCATGAGAATAGTGGACAGATAAGGGAAGGAAAGGAACCTGAATGTTTAGGAGGCCAGAGGCTCATCTGGGTATGGAGAGATCAAGGACATTGCCCGACTAAACTGCCTGGRCATTATCCTTGTGTGGGAGAGAAGCTKCCATCTCTCYAGGTGRCGTGCAGAGGACAGAGGAAGGAATCATTCTGCAGCCACAGTACAGGCCAGCTGCGGGAGCTGATTCCGGCAAATCCAAGGTTGGCCTGAAATACAGGCCTGGTCAACCCCCACTACAMAAGACACAGTGAGCCCAAGTGGCCAGGGGAAAATCAAACATGGAAAGAGGTTTACACAGGGGACAACTGGTTGTGGAAACCCCTAGGATCTCCCTCTCCCCCTCCAATCTGGCTGCTTGCAGGACCAATGAATAACCCAATCAATAAATGGGCTAAGGAAGAGAACAGACACTTCACAAAAGAAGAAATAGGAATTGTCCACAAATATATGCAAAAATGTTCAACATCACTAGCAAGTAGAGAAATGCAAATTAAAACTACACTGAGATTTCATCTCACTTCAGTCAGACGGCAGTTATAAAGAATACACGTAACAATAAATGTTGGCGAGGATGTGGGAAAAAAAGTACACTCCTACATTGCTGGTGGGAYTGCAAATTGGTACAACCACTTGGAAAAGCAGTATAGAGATTCCTCATAAAACTTGGAATGGAACATCCTTGACCCAATTATCCCACTCCTTGGCATGTAGCGAAAGGACTTAAAATCAGGATACTATAGTGACACAGCCATCCATGTTCATAGCAGCTCAATTCACAGTAGCTAAGCTCTTGAACCAATGTAGGTGTCCTTCAAGAGATAAACTGATAGAGAAAATGTGCTGCACATACACACTGAATATTACTCAGCCATAAAAAAAAGAATGAAATTATGGCATTTGCCTGTAAGTGGATGGAACTGGAGGCTATCGTGCTAAGTAAAATAAGCTGACCCCCCAAATCCAAAGGTTGAATATTCTCTCTGATATGTGGATGCTGACTCACAGTAGGCTCGGGGGAGGGAGGAGTGGGAGGTTCACCTGATTGAGGGGAAAAATGGGGGCAAGTATGGAGGGATGGGAATGGGAAAGACAGTAGAATGAACTGGACATAACTTTGCTGTGTTCCTATATGAACACACAACCAATGTAACTCTACATCATATACAACCACAAGAATGAGAAGTTATATTGTAAGTATGTATGATATGTCGAAATACAKTCTACTGTCATGTATAAAAGAACAACAACAACAGAAATACATGATTACTATACGAATAACCCAAGGTAGGCTTTTCATATTTTGGCTGTGATCCAGGATTGAAATGGCAGGTGAGCAGATTGACAATTATAATGTCCTCATTAGAAATCAGTTTGGTAATGTTTTATGAAACTGAATTACTTTCCCAAACCCTTTTATACCTGAGGTCATGATGATAGGATAATTCTGGGAGAGTGACTACTGGGTGATTTCCATGGATGTGCTGGACAAAGGGCTGATTCACGTCCCAGGCAGGACAGAGAGAAGACCAGGATTTATGCTACTTGGAACACCATTCATACGCATTTAGTGTATGAAGAATTGTTCAATTCTGGAATTTTCTACCTACCAGACTGTAGCTGACCTGCCTGAAATGAGGGAAAGCGAAACTGGATAAGGGGAACTGCTGTGTTGAGTTTGGGACTGAATATTATTTTCAGTTTAGTGAATGAGTTTTGAGATTTGTAATGAAGTGTGTTTGAAATAAAATCTTGCGTCAGTGTTCTTTATTCCCAATGTCTGACTGCTCAACACAGTCTCCACTGTAAGTTCCAAGTAGTGATTATGTTCAGATAACTTATAGCAGAATTCCAACAACAACAAAATTGGTCTCTTTAAAAAATTTAAATGCACTTTATTTAGCACAAGCTCTGCCTTTTAAAAATTAAGTGTTTCTGGGATGGGGGTATAGCTCGGTGGTAGATCTCACGTTTAGCCTGTAGGAAGCCATGGGTTCAAATTTCCAGCACCAAAAAATAAAAAAATAATAAATAAATACAAATTAGGTGTTTAATTCCCCCAAGTTTATATATATATATATATATATAAATACTGTTAGAAACCCCCTGGAAATTCCCTGTACAGTGTTCTATTTTAGATATCCCACTGATGCAGCGTTACCACATCTATCTGGGGTCATGGTGGGGAGGAGGCTCCCTGCCTCTCCCAGGCCACTGAGAATTGATGTGACTATCTTCCCCTCGACATGCWGGGGTATACAGAGCTATTCCTGAGGTAGAGTTTCAACACAAAATCTCAGCAGAGCACAAAATAAAAAATAATTATGAAAAAAATTAAATTGGCAAAATCATCAAATCATTGCTTGTGAATAATACTGTTTTCAAAGTCCAAGAGCAGCCCTCAGAAATGGGACCAGATCTTGTTGTTCTCTCAGAGAACTGCAGAATTGAAACAGAGACATACTCACGGGAAGAGGAAGAAAAATGGCTCACCAGACAAGACAATGCCCCAGGTGTTGAATACTTAGATCTGATGAGCATCTAAGCCAAGCAACGAGGTCAGCACAGTTGGTATAAGTGCTCAATAACAGGAACATCACCTCCAAGATTATGGTTGGTTTCCATGCCGTTTGCATGTTCTTACAAGTGACTGGAACAAGAATTTCCAGTTACTGCTATTCAAGGGGGTCCCCAACATGGGCTGTTCGTCTGTGATGAGTCCTGCTGACTACACACAGCTCAGCTGGGCTCACAGACATCTGCTTCAAAGCTGAGCTTGTGTTGTGGTTTTGAAAAGGCTCCTTGGAGCCCATAGTTGCAGACCGTGTSGATGTGTGGCCGCCCATCTCAAGCTCTCCTTCTCAAAATCCTGCCTTTCCATTCACTGATTTGAAAACCACCACAGTTGATGTAATAAGGTCAGAGCTTTGTCGCCATGCCCACGTTCCTGGGTTCCTCTGGTTGTGGCCGAGCTGGGCTCTGTACTTCCTTTCGGCATTTGGCAGAGTAGAGGATGTATATGCTTCTTATCAGGAAAATGCCAGCGATGACTGCAAAATAACTCCCGTAAACTAAAAACTGGAGAAAAACGAATAATCAGCCACATATAAAATCTGACCACCTATGTCATTGACATCGTGGAATGATGCTGTCAGCTTGCTTGGATGATGGGGAAACTGAGACCCAGGATCTGAGGATGGGTCATGTTGATTAGACAATCCACTCTTCTATCTTAGAAGAATCAAGTGTGAAAATATAAGCAATTCAGGGATAGGGAGTCACTGGTTTGGAGGCAGATTGTCTAAACTCAAATCCCAGCTGCTGTTATCAATAGTGAAAGCACATTACATCCTACCGATTTATCTAGGGGTCCATGTTTGGAGGCTGGAATAGTGTTTTGTGCTATGTCTCAAACTCTTGGCTTGTGCCACCAGGCCTGACTTATGTGCAGTGTCTGTAAGGAAGAATTTAAGACCCCAAGGCTACTTCTTACCTCCCTTACCCAGGTAAATATCGACCTTCATGGTGTTATAATATAATTAAGGAATCATGTGTTTTTAAGTTTGCCTAGCCAAGGAATTTAAGAAATCAAAATATTGTTAGCTGTTGAAGAACTTTGGAGGCAACCTAGTTATTCTACATTCCCAGCAACTACATGAGAAGGAAAACAGAAGTCCTGGAGCTTACCTGCGTGGTGACTGGCAGGTTGAGCCCTCTCTGATCCACCACAATCACAGTCATGACAGTCTGAATCAACAAGGCAATAAAGGTGTTCATTCCGAACACCAGGGCATAGCGCTCCACACTTAGGTTCACCGCGATCTGAAATCTACCATGAGATGTCAGACAAGTATTTTAACCACAAGATACAGAAGAGTCTTACCTTCAAAAGCTAGCAACTGGAGAGAACACAGTGTTGTTAATTGTACTTCTTGTCTAAATCCCTCAGTATACACGGACAGGCAGAGCAAAGGAATTAAATATCATTAAAGGCTGAATTAAGGATAACATGGGAAAAGTCCTCCTATCCAACTTAGTGCTTGCCAGAAATTAATCCTGAGTTCCTGAGTGTCTTAAATTCTCATAACATAAGAATATTGGCTGTCATCTGATCTTAGATACTGTTTCCCAGTAAATTTTTTTTTCTTTAGTATTATCTGTTTACTGCTAATTGCTGGCATGGACAAAGTTTGGTGTATCAATTATTCTTTGGAAGATCCAGACCTTGAGTGCTTGTACAATTGAGTAAATCTGAATTTAATCTGTATTTATATAGATTTTTAAACTCTTACTATATTCGTTGAAATACAGGTGAAAGGCTTTGGACTTTGAATTTTTTTTTTATGTAAAGAAAAAATGGAATCCTATCTTAAAGTCTTCACCTTAAAAAACAACAACGAAAACCTCCAGACAAGAGTTTATCCATTAAGCCAGGGCAACACAGGGGAAAATAAACTTGCCAACTTGTTTCTTCTCCTTCCTTTGTCCCATGATGCTTTTCCTGCAGCTCTAACTCAATGTCTCCTCAATTGTTTATCAAAGACTTTTCACAAGTTAAAAACAAATCAACCTGATAAAGTTGCTTCAACGTTTTTTCATGCACCTTGAAATTCAAGGGTTTCTCATCTCTTTAGTTACTATTAAAGCACATTTCCTGTATCCAGCTTTAACTATACTTATATGAACCATATCATTCTTTAGTCATTTTCTAAAACATCTCTCTGAAAAAAATGCAAAGATTATAGGAAATTCTATAWCCCAGAGATCTTCTTAGAGAAATAATTAAATACCATTTGGTTCCATGTATCAGGGCAACCACACGTTTCTTTTAATATTTTTATCTACTTTATTTCAGTATTCAATTTTTTATAAATTTCCCGAGAATATTTGGTTCACAGAAAAGTATGTGCTTGGAATTACTAAAGCAGCTAAATGAGATTAGGGATGAAATCTAAACTTCAGCATTTACATTACACCTTGTTATGGAAAATTGTTGGAAATAAAAAATAAAACCCTGATAATGTACCATTGCTTCTGTTTTATCACGAAGAAATTAAAAAAAAAAAATCATTGAAACCAGACAATGTATCATTGCTTTTGATTTAGAAGGTAGCAGAACTTTTTTCCTGAATGACTAATCTGAGCAATATTCAGATAACAAATGGTTAAACGGAAAGATGACTTGGTTGCATTGGGTTTAAAATTAAGTAGTTTTAATATTGCAATTAAATTTAATATTGCAAGTAAATATTGCAATCATTAAATGTCACAATTGATTGCAATATTGTGTTTTAATATTGCAATTACATTCAATATTGCAATTGATTAAAATCCTTCTGAAGTTCTCAGAGGAACTTCAGGAATAAAAGAGAGGAAAAAATGCTTGGTAATACTCACACTGCTATGGTTATGAGAAGCATATAGCTGGACTTGAACACCAAATAGCCAGTGTAGCACACCCAGATGCTGAGTGTGTAATGCATGAGGAGCAGAGACCCTGCGCTGAAYGTGGAGAAGATGGCCAGAGCCAGCTCCCCCAGGAGATCCCAGTTGATTTTCACATAACCCACTGCGAAGGCAGCCAGGGCCCCTGAAAACAAAACACGGGGAAGATCAACACACTGACTTTGCACACAGAAACCATCCACACACCTCAAACACTTGGTTCTTGAGCAATTCTGAAAGATGAATACATTGYTTTCACCAAAATTATGTGATCTATCTGAATGAAGATCTATCCTTATTCATCCAGGTTTTCTTCTCTTTTCATTTCCTATTTCTCAGTTACTTCGTCATACACTTTAAATTAGTATCTATAACATACCAGGCATTAGACTAGGCAGAGGGTCCAAAAACGTTCCTACTCACAGCAGGAAGATTGGATAATCGACAAGAGATTGGATAATTGATGGTAATTAGGGTTAGTAATTGTGGTTCTCCTTAACAAAGTGAAAGGCATTTAAGTTTCAAAAGACTGGAAATTGATGAATTAATTTTCCCATATGTTATCTAAGAATGGGCCATATCTACAAAGGAGTATTTCCTCCAAGAATTTGGAAGGTAGGAGCAATCATTCCAATGAGCCAATTTGGGCACAGTTTTGGTTTTCAGGAGTGACACTGAAGTCCCCCAAAGATAGACAATAACAAAACAAAGACCACATGAGTTTTCTGAAACTTTTTAGATGAGGGTGTGGAAAAACCTCACTTCCTAAAAAATATCTTCAAAGCCTCATTTGACATTTAAGTTTCCATTTGCAAGGCTGTAAATATTTATTGTAGAAAAAACTTCAAAGGCAGATTTCTCTCTGATATTAGAGTCTTGACTCTCACACCTCTTCCAAGTCTTATTATTTTTTTTAAAAAAAACATAAAACTACTTTTAAAAATTGGTGGTGTACAGGATTGCTGGGATGAGTACTAGTTAGATCATTGACAAGACTCTTTCAGTGAGTTTTTGGAAGCCTTAATGAATTTTCAAAAATAATTAATAAAAACTCAYTACTTAGGCAAATCTTTTTCCTTTTGATATTAAAAACAATTCTGAAAGAACAAGGAATACTACATCACTTGTCCAAATGATGAAATGGAGCCTGAGGAATTCAATAACAATTTATTTGGTTCTAAGGTCTGAGATCTCGAATTACTTTTACCTATACCCAAATATTAAGTAAAAGGTTATGATACTCCCATTTTTCCAGAATATTCCAATCTTGGAAAAAAAATAGCATGCTTCTGAACAGAGCTAATTATTTACCACTCTGGAAATGTTTAGTACTTGGAGAAATGAATTTAAAATGTAGCCCATCAAAGGAAGATAAAGTGATGTTTACCTACCTCCAAATGTTGCAATAGCTTCTACTGCTCCATTATAGATGGAGGAATCTTGGGATGGGGCCTTGTCATCCCACAGGATCTGCACATAGTTCAAAACCTGGTTAAAACCCGCTGTGGAAAAAGCCCACCACAGGGACCAGTAGAAAAGACGCTTTGAGGAGTAGCACTCCCGCAGATCCTGGAACCACTGCACGCAGCTCCTCCAAGCCTCATGTTTGGGCTTGGGGCTGCTGGCCTGGCTCT